CGACTCAACGCTGTGACTAAGAAGGACATGTATCTGCTCCCCTACATCGACGATACGCTAGACCCATTGCGCCACTTCCGATATTTTTCGTCGATGAATCTAAAGAGTGGCTACTGGCAGATTGAAGTCGAAGAACACGACCATGAGAAAACTGCCTTCGTCACTCTCGACGGACTGTACAAGTTCAAAGTGATGCCGTTCGGACTTTGTACAGCACCAGCCACCTTCCAGCATGTCATGGACACGGTGCTGGTCTGAAATGGCAGAGCTGTCTCGTCTACCTGGACGATGTCGTGGTATTCTCATGAGATTTCGATGAACACCTGAGACGACTTCGAGCCGTGCTTCAAGCCATCCAGACTGCCGGCCAATCACTCAAGCCAATAAAGTGTCGGTTCGCCTACGGGAAACTAAAGTTCCTTGGCCACGTCGTGAACAACAAAGGTTTTCTCCCTGACCCCCGAGAAGACCCGCGCCGTAGCTGCATTTACTCCGCCGTCTGACAAGAAGGCGATGAGAAGATTTCTCGGACTCTGTGCCTACTACAAGCGCTTTGTTCGAGACTTCGCCAAGGTGGCTGCACCGCTGACGCACCTTACGAAGGACACCGTAAAGTTTGAGTGGACAGAAGAACACCAGCGGTCATTCGACGAGCTCAAACGAAGACCCTCGACACCCCCGATTCTTGGCCATTTCGACCAGTTTGCTGAAACAGAAATCTACATCGACGCCAGTAACACCGGACTGGGTGCTGAGCTAGTCCAAATGTAGGATGGGGCAGAGGGAGTCATCGCATACGCAAGTCGGACGCTGTCTAACGTGGAGAGGAACTACTCAACAATGACTGAAAAAGAGTGCCTCGCTGTCGTCTGGGCAATAACAAAGTTCCGCCCATATTTGTATGGGAGTCCTTTTCGCATGGTCACTGACCACCACTCAATCTGCTGGCTCGCGCATCTGAAGGACCCCTTTGGACGGCTGGCCCGGTGGAGTTCGACACGACTGCAGGAGTTCGACATGACCGTGGTGTACAAGTCCGGCCGGAAGCACGGCTGTTAAAGTCACCAAGTTTTTTATCGAGTTCATTGTCCTCTGTCACGGCACCCCCGAAGTCCTCATTACAGACCGTGGATCATTGTTCATGGCTCAGCTGATTCAGGAGATCCTCCGTCTCAGCCACACCAACCATTGGCGAACCGCAGTGTACCATCCTCAGACTAATGGGCTGGCGGAACGCCTAAACAAGACCATCGCCGACATGATCTCCATGTACGTCGACGTGGAGCACAAGACGTGGGACGAGGTGTTACCGTACGTCACATCTGCCTAAAACACGGCCGCACAAGAGACCACCGGGGTTAGGTTACACCCTTTCAACTGGTTCATGGTCGCAAAGTAACGACAATGCTGGATGCGGTGTTACCCGATGCATCGTGAGAGGTGGACCAATGCGGTGCGCAAGTTCGTCTGCTTCTTGCACAGGGGTTGCGATGATGTCAGAACGGCAACCTCTAATTGGCTGATATAAAAAAATAGTAGGTAGACCTCAAGGAATCTAGCATTCAGGTTTACCCACTATTCTTTCAATCAAAGCCGATCGGAGCTTGGCATCGTTCTGAAGTCATAACAACTCCTGTGCAAGAAGCAGACGAACTTGCGCTTCGCATTGATGTCACAGACGTCACGCCAATTGGTCCAGCACGGGCAAAGCTGTTCGAGGACCCGCAGGGTTATGAGCCCCGCCACTTGGCGTCGTCAGCGCGTTACAACCTGGCCGTTTTTGTGGACTGTCCCCACTCCCTGGAGTTGTTTAATAGGCCGGGAGGAAGGGAAATCCGGTTTGACAGGGCTCATGCAGGTGCAGTTTGCTGCCGTACTTCCGCGGAGTGGCGCTGATTTTGAATAGTGACATAACAACATTCGATTTATTCCTTTTAAAAAGCTCTGGTGGTGCTTGCCAGCGTAGACGCTGAGCCGCAGCATGCCGAGCCTTTCGTTCGTTTTCATCCATGTCAGAAAGAGGATCTGTGGTATGGAACGTGGTTATATACCCATTTGAGCATTTGACCGCAGCGCCCTCTCGTCTATAAATGTTGAGCCAATGCATGCAAAGTTTAACGCGATTATATACGCATTTGACTGCAGTGCCCTCTCCTGTATAGACGTTGAGCGGCTACATGCAACGTTTCATCTATGACATTTCCAGCTCTTGAGTTACTACCACATCTCAGAGCCCCCACTCGTCCCGCAGTCGTGGCCAAGTGGTTAAGGCGATGGACTAGAAATCCATTGGGGTTTCCCCGCACAAGTTCAAATCCTGTCGACTGCGCAAAAATGTTTTTTTCATCAGTTTTTATTTACTTTTTTTGTTCATGAGCATGTAAGCTCATGAGCACGGACGCCGGACGGACAAGGCTAGACCCTAAGGAGCTTCGCCCCTAATAATGTTTCGGTGTCTTTTCAAGCAAAAAACTGGTGTCTCCGTGGTGTGGTCAGAACATGGTTCACATTTAGACAACCAAATAGGCACTAGAATTTTGTTTTAGTAACCCTTTAAAGGGACACTGGCAGGGTATTTATGCTCGCCGAGGTTTTCATTTGAACATAACCTACGAGGGCACAACAACCCAGAACAGAATTCGCGGCTCGAAATTCGTTTGATTTCAGACCGAAAACAGCCGGTCGAGAATGGACCTCTTGGCAAATATGTGCTGCCACCTAAACACGCCACTGGGTTCGAGTCTAAGTGGCGAGAAAACGCGTGCGCAAGGCCTCTTCCACCCGTTCCAGACCCAAAACGTCAGCTACATCCTGTTCACCCATTGAGGCGCTGTGACCTAAATACGGCTTTCCCAAACTCGCCTTTGTCCCCATCGTGCGTAATCTTCCGCCCCGAAGTCGACACAACGAAACCATCTTCCCTCTCTGCTCGGCCAGAAGGAAGAGAGAGAGGGTACTGGGACCATTTACTCTCGAACCAATGTTTCTACAAAAGGTCCATTGGCTGGTTTCAGTCGCGCTCACTCTCGTCTCTATGGTCACGTGGCGTTCAAACTATGTGTACCAAATATATTCGAAGTCGTGGATTGTCTAAGACACACGTCCAATACTAACAACAGAGAAGAATGTGAACCCCCTTTTTCGTGGCCTCCAAGAAGCCGCAAGTATGTTGGTCAAAAAAAGGAAGTTAGACAGATCAGAGGAAGCACATGTATATGTCGTTATCAATATGGTGGCTTACATTGAGCAGAAACGATACAAGTGCGAAACAATCGTACGACAGACAGCTGTTGCAAGTTTGTCATCGTCATCTTCTGCTTCAAAAGCAAAAAGATAAAAAAAAAAAAAAATAGCGGTCGGGTGTAGTTTAGTGATTTCCAGCCACGAGCTTTCATGCCAGTGTTTTGGTTGCAGAGCAGTTGAGCTTTACTGCCCTTATTAATAATATATGTGTCTCTGCAGCAAAATGTTAAAGGGGTAGTCTCTTGAAACCATAATAAATCATCTGGCAAAGAATAAAAAAAAAAAGCATTCTTGGGGGGTGGCAGTGTTTTTTTTAAAGGGGTAGGAAAAAAAACTTTAGGGCCCATTTTATTGCTTAGCTATACATACCATGCTGCATGTGCACCTGAGAAACATCAATATTTTGTTTGTAAATGCGAGAAAAGTAATTTTAAAACGAGTAAAACGATTACCCACTCGCACTTGGTAATTGGGAAACCGAAGCTTTGTTGGCGGATTGTGACACGTTGATCTTCCCGCAGTGGCGCCACCCCAGCCGTGAATCATATGGCGTAATCACGAAGAGCCAACGTAAAGTTGACGAGTTGGCCACGTTGGAGTAGGTGGCTCACGCGGCGTGCAATTCTTTGGAGCCACCGAGTTGTTCCTGCGTTTGTTCATTGCGTTTGCATGCAGGATGCTGCGCTATAGTGCAACAGCAACAGTGTGCTGAACTGCCAGACGCCGACCCACGGGTTTTCGAACGATGAGAAACTCCGAAGCATGTGGATCCATCTCGAGCGTTTGTCCTCTCTCGTGTGTGCGCCGGTGAAAACGGATCGCTTCGGTTATCATTTTCGCGACGAGGACTATGAAAGGTGACCCACTGACCACTCGAGTCTGGGACTTCCTACCAAGAATATTTGGTCGCTACCAGGGGTTGTGCCGACCACTTTTTCCGAGAAAAGAAAAGCAGAGGAACTCAGCGAACCACACGAAAAGCAAAGCAAACTGGAAAGTGAACACGCTGTTAATGAAACGTTTAATAGCACACACCTCCAAGTTGGCCTATCATTATGAGATGTGAGGCATTTCTTGGCGACCCCGACCCCCGTCAGATTTTGTTGGGCGGACGGTCTATCAGTCGGATGGTTCGTACGGTTCCAGCTTGAATCGACTGTCAGTCACCATGTGCGAGAGTGACTAGTCGTCCTTGTCGACATCTTCAGAGTTTCCTTGGTAGTCGAAATCCTCGTTGCTACCGAGTTCATAGACCCTGCAGAACGCACCGTGGACTATGGGGCCGGTATGAAGACGTCACGACGGTCGTAGTGCAGCTGTGCATTCTTCCGCCACTCCAAAACGCGAGATTGTGACACGCAAAAGCCACCACGTGGCGGCGCTCACAAACACGCCAGCCTTTGGATGTGCTCAGGTGCCTGATGCCACGATTGCGACGGAGTTCCCAAGACGCACCACACGCCTCGATGACTGATTTCAAAGAGGTTGCTAGAATCGTGCACTCGAAACAAAAAACATAACCATTCGCTGAAAATACAAACGCGGAGTCGTCGTTTACAGATATCACCAAACATATTTCACCCATTTCAGAAACGTTTCCGCATATGCTGATTTTCGTTTCGAAGAAACTCACACACCCCAGAAATACTGTAATTCCAAAACCGACACCACAGCCCCCCTCTAGTCTCGGCTGAAGGTAAAATGGCTTCCCACAAACAGCCAGCCCGGTTATGCGACCCAAAAGCACCAATGCATACCCTTCTTCCCGGGTTTCAGGTCGCCGTTGTTGTCCTCGTAGAACTCCCGGATGTCCACCATGACCCTGCCCTTGAACTCCCGCACGGTGAGGTACCGCTTCTTGGCCAGCTGCACAGAGCGAGTATCGGTCATTGCCGACTTCAAATACCCCAGCACCAAAATAATGCACACACCGCAGGCCGGGTGGCTCATTATCGCCAGTAAAGGCTGAACCGCATGTAAGCGATTTAGCGAGCGACAACGACAAGCGATACAGGTTTTTCACTGCTGCTTGTCGCGTCGCTCGGTTTTCGGACTTCTAGAAAACGTCGCTCATTGCCTTTGACGCATTCAAGCGGTTTGCTTGTCGCGCAAATGACCAAGCAACAGCGAAGAGTCGCCATCGCTTGTCTCGTTGCTCGCCAAATCACTTACATGCGGTTTATATTTAAGACTGTGGCGCTAGCTGATAAGAATGCTGAACCGAAGAACAACGCAAAGAGCATGATGTCGATAAGGAACAACCTCGAATTAAGGGAAGACACCGCTCTTTGAGGTAAAAAAAAAAAAAATCTAAAAGAAAGAACATAATTTTGAAAGAGTATTTTTTTAAAATTGGCAGGCACTTCTCATCTTGTCCGCAAGGATTTCCAGGAAAAAAGTCCCTCTCTTATCTCAAATATTGTCTTGGAAACAAAGTAAAATTAGTCTGTGGATGTTTCTTTTTGTGCAATTATTTCCGAGTGGATTATTTATACACTTTGCTATTTTATGAAAGCCACGTCCACACTTGTACATACCCAATCTTTATATATTTTTCTTTTTTCTCCGATGGGTGCATGTGTGACGTACGCAATACAAGGCATAACTATATTTAAATATGGTATCAGGCTTTCCCTCAATGAATCATTTTGAAACTGGAAACTTTGAGCGTTCTAAAAACCTATAAATCGTCCTAGAGCTTTCATTTATACCTTATTTCATTAGACGGACCTTTTAGTTTGCCGATATACGTTTATTTTTCTATTTTAGTGCTATTTCAGTTTGCCTTCGTCCATCTCATAATCTTTGAAAATGAAATATTTAATATTAACAAAACTAATTAGGATACATCAAAACCAAGTACACATTTTTAGTCAGTTTGTAAGAGCAGATAAGCTACGTAAATTTAATTTGAATCAAATATCAAGTTACATAAAAAAAAGCTCTAGAGGCAGCGTTTAAACAGTCAATAATGGTACGGCCTTTCTATGATCCCAGGGTACAGCATTCCTCAGTGGTCGCTTGAATTACTCGAACTGGTGCGCAACTTAGCCCTCGTCTGCCCTTGCATCGAAAGTTGTCCCGGACTGGCAACGAACGCAGGTGGAACAGGGATCTGCCACATCCACGTCCGTCACTGCGGAGCCGCCGGGCTTGAACCAAACGACCGAACCGATCCATCGTACGGATTAGCCAACGAAAAAGAAGCGCAGAATACACGTATGTGCACGATCTCCGATCGGCCGGCAAATTACGACCGGGTCGAAGGTGATAGGTGCACCTGTTTCTGCCAGGACATTCCGTGTCAAGCAGTGCTAGTTTAGTCTGCAAAAGAAAAATGTTCGCCACACTAGCCAACTGACGAAACGAGGGATGGACGATCCGGCGTGCAAGTGCGCTGCGGCTCTAAGCGTGCGGAGCGAAAGTTCATGCTGCAGAACGCGGGGATCCTGCGTCCGTTCCCCCCTCCCCTCTCTCGCTCCCCCCCTCTCGTCGCGTCTGTTTCAATCTGAAAGACTAATTGTACTACCTGCATGCAGCCGCCGCGCGTCGAGACCACGTGACGGGTTGGTGCCGTCGACTCACCATGAATCTCTCCTCTCCGTCGGCGTTAGTGTCCCGGCTGGCGCTTGCGGTCTTCTTCTCGTCGGGCTTGCCCTTCTTCTGGGGCACGTTCCTCTGTGCATGGGAGGGTCGCGCTCAGTTCTGGCGGTGCGGTAGTCTATAGACTATTTCCAAAGTTCACTGCCATCTAGTGGCTCGAGTAGCAGTTTAGCTTTCGAGGTACTTAAAGGCCGACGACCAGACCCGAGATTCTGCAAGGCAGAAGATCCTCTTCACCATGGGGGAGGAGGAAGCAGGCAACGGTGGAGAGTGTAGAAGGGAGAGGAGAAAGCGGGAAAAAAATGGAAAGCGCGAACTACTCGTCGGTCTTAAAAAGAAGGTTAATAAAAATGGGGTAGTGCGTTGGGCATTGTCGCTTTGAAAGATGGACAGCAAGCGGAAACACGTCACTCACTACGGTTGTTTCTCCATTTTTTAAAGTTTCGGCGGTGACGAGGCACGGTGAATAAAAGCAATTCGATTGTAAAGCTAGGACATCAATTAGCAGTCTGGGAAAGGTTTGTTTGTGTGTCCATCCATCCCGCAAACAAAATAGCGGTTTTCAGCATTCCGACTAAAAGTGACTTGTGTGCCTATGGCAAACATGCCAAGACAAATTTCACAGTGCACCGACACATTTATTGTACACCCTACTGTTGCAAGCATTCAGAGACCACCTTACGTGAAAGCACACAACGTTGTGATTGGTTGGCACCTGTGCTCAAAAATTGCAGCACGCAACCGAGGCAGAGAAGCCGGAAAAGAGGGAATACCGATTCTCCGACAGGATCCTCACCTGTAATCAATCTTTCAGCGGCATCCTCGCTATGCCAGTCACGTGACCTAAAATTTGCCCGTCTAGAGACCGTGATAAATTTTTGCCCGCGGTCATTGTGAGAGAAGCCAGATCCCAAAAGGCCGCCATTATTAGTATGGCACAGGTACCATAAACTCGTGTTATGATGGTGTTCAAAGTGGCCAGATCAGGCTTCGAAAAATTGGTTGCAGCAAACGTAATGGCAGTTTTATCGCTGTAGCTTACTTCTTTATCCCCTTGCCTTGTGGGCGAGTCTCAAAATTAGGTACCGTAAAATGCCGGGCAAGCGCCCACTCAAAATTTTGAGATAATCATGAAAATATGAAGGATGGGCGCTTGTCCGGTTATCAATTCTACATATCAATGTACTGTGCATATTTTCTCAGATTACACAAATTTGGGTATGGGCACTTAATGTGGTACGGGTGGATGCACGGTATCCTACGGTAAGTTTCAGAGTAATGGTCGACCCTTCGGCCATCTTGTTTGTTAACATCACTGTGGTGTATTGCCTAAAAGCATTATCTGAAATCAGAGGAAACGGTTTTCCCTCCTCCAGAAATGCATAGAAGGTCTGCAACAGAGCAAAAACAATATCCCTAAGGCTTCCTGACACCACCCTTACACGTTTGGAGGTCGTATTTCCGAATTAACAAGGTTCGCCAATTGCACCCCCTCTGCACTGAGCACCAAAATGGCGGCGGCCACAAGAAAATGGACATCTGCACAAATAATTGTCAGCACTCCATGGCACTAGTTGTGAGCAGTGGAAGTGAAGGCAACACCAGGCAAAAAAAAATTTAAAAAAAATGGCGAGCACTAGGAAGGTGGGACGGGAGAGGAGGGCAAGGGGGGTGAGGGGAGGACAAGGACAACAATGCCTAGAAGGCAAGGCCATAGTGCTGCAATTTTTTTTCCGTCACCAGCGGAGCCTGACGCTGGATACGGATTGGAAACGACTGCTGTGTCAGCGCTCTGCTTCGAGTCAAGTTTGAGCCGAACGTTGACGCAATCGTTGTGTCCAATCTGCGACCGGTGTTGGTCTTCGTTGATGACTGCATCTCTATCAGCACAGCGGCTTTGTGATCTAGGAGGGGTTGACTAGGAACTTTAGAGGGAAGAGGAGGTTTCACTCCTCTTCCCCAGCCTTCCTAGTGCTTGCCCTTTCTCCCCTCGCCTGTACTGCACGCAACTTGTGACACGGACTGTAGATTAGTCCCCGCACTTTTTGCGAAACTTTTTTTTAGAAACCTTCGCACATATTGTGCTGCAGGATCGTCTGAAATGCATATTCGTGAGGCTTCGTGAACAACACCGGTGCCAAGAGTGCCGTAACAAGCAAAAACTTCTTTTAGGCCCAGCCCCTCTTCACAAGGGCCTGTGTTTGTGATTATTATTTCCCATTTTTTATCGCTGGGGGCTAAGATTTCGGATACTGGTCTAAAGAGTCGAGAGCAGGGGCCTTGTCAAACAGCACTGCCTCTTGTTGGCTACCTCCCCATCGGGCACCACCGAAGAGAAACTAATGAAGAAACGTGAAAACAAGGTGGAAGAAGGAGCTACTCACGTCGTCAGGCCCCGAGTCCGAATCGCTGTCCGTTTCAACCTTTGACCTCTTCTTGGATGACATCGTTTGTTGAGCGGCTTCTTTCCTGCGCGCGAAAATGAGACTGCTTAGGACCTCGCTCCACCGGGTGATCGAAAACAAACAAAACACTGCCCCATGATACGCCAAAAACACGTTTTTTTTTTAGCCTCGAACGTCACCGACGGTGCACAAAGGAAGAACAACATGTGTGCAGTGCTGACGAGGGTTGGTCGTATCTCCGAAAAGCTCAATTGTCTTGTCGGGGAAGTGAAATAAACGTCCGCACCTTGCAATGACGGCAAACCGAGCGAGAAATGACTGATAAATCTGCCATTGCGATAACACGTAATGGGAACGAATTCTTCTGTGCCGTGGGAACCCTTGATATGAGGAGCAGCGCCACGGTCGTGCAGGCACTCACGATGACTCGCCTATTTCAGCGAACAATTCGCTTCGCCTCACTTGTTCTCTGTGCGTTCCAGCGCGAGGCTGGTGTGCATCTCCTAAAACGCGATCGAAGAGGAACACTTACCTGAAAGATGACGAGCAATATATCGCGGCAATGCTACAGCGGATACCCTACTTGCACCTGCAAACTACCCGAGAAGACAGAAAACGCCGGTGATGAAAGTTGCCAGCAGATACTAGCATACTCGCCAAAAACTGCTATATTTGGTAATAAAACAAAACAAATACGGAAAACAAATTTTGTTTCTTTGTAAGAGGTTTTGTATTGTCAGTGGAAAGTTAAAAACAACTAAAACATAAAAATAAGTCTAATTTAATTCTTAAATTTGGGTTCCTAAGGTCTCGCGACCAATCACGGCGAGGCGACGCGAAACGTTGTCCGCCGACGCAAAAGCGTCGCGCGTCGCCGCTCAGCTGCTGTCGCTCGAAGCGCTCGAAATGCACGCTCGGAGTGGAAGGCGCGGATATCAAAACGTGTGATATTTTTGATCTTACTTGCTTGCCAAGTTCGTTGTATTAACGGCCGTCTCTACACCGTTTAAAAAATAAGCATCAAAAAGCCCGTGCTTCGGTGAATCTCCGACATACTCAGATTACAGTTAGCACAAGATCCTTGGACACTCCTCTTTTTGGGTAAGTGTCAAAAAGACCTTCGGAAACAGCTACATCCAACGAGCATAGCGGCCAGAGGCAACCGGTGGCGTTGGAATTAGAGGAAGGAGGGAGAAAGGGTGGGGGGGGGGGGGGGGGGGGGGGGTTCGCCTATGAGCCACGCCCGCAGGACTCCGGAATTGGCATTCTGCGCGACATGTAAGACCAACACAAAAGTTCAACTAGGAACAGCACTACGTGCAAAGGTACCAATTGCCAGCCTTAGACGTTTGGGCTACTCTGAGGTCATTAAAGTCATCCTTGGAGCAACTCCACCGGAGTTCGTTACAGTCGACTACACTCGCTGTAACCGTATATCGAGCTGCCCCTGAAGTGCTCCAAGTGTCATCACTTCGGCCACGTCGGAGTAGTCTGCGATCAATCCCTGTCGTGCATTCGCTGCGATAGTCATCATGGTTTTATCAAATTTGAAGCGAAAAATCCCTGCCTTGCCGAAGATCTGGCAGGGTTGCGTTCGCTCACACGCTTATTGTCAATCAAGCTCGTTGTACAGTTTCGGCACGCCATCCGCACTCCTTCTAAAATTCCAGACCCTACCCCTATATGTTCCAGAACACTAAAGAGAACATCACGAGACACGCGGTCGAAGGCTTTTTCTAACTGTAACATCGCAACCTTCCTTATCTCTGAGTCGCAGCACTCCAAATTACTGCGCGCGACATGGATGTTAGTTAAAATACTTCAACCAGGCCGCACGTCTGGTGCGGCCCCACAACATTCGTGATCACGCATTGCAATCGTCTGGCAAAGTCTTTCATTAGTATTTTGTAGTCTGTGTTAGTAAGGGTTAAAGGACGATAAGATTTTACACTACGAAGTTTAACGGGATCGTCACACTTAGGGATCAATCCAGTATGCGTACGCAGAAACAATATAGCGGTAAGAATTTTTGGTGATACGCTTCAGTAAAAACGTCTAATAAAATAACTGCCCACCTCATGCTTAAACATCTTCTAGAAAAGTGCCGTCAACCCATCTGGGCCTGGCGATTTCCCAGGTTGCAGCGCTTCTTCTGCAGAACCCTTTAATTTACTGTCTATTGCCGGCAGTAAAGACAAGAACTCGGTATCAGACGCCACCTTTTGTGAGGCTTGACGACTGAAAAGATCCGTGTAGTGTTCGACGAAGGCCTTTTCTATAAAATTTTTCTCGCCAGAGAGAACGGGTGGTTATCATTTGAGCCCGCTCTCGTTTCGCCCTTCTCACTTGGCCTTTCTCAAAACAACCATTCTCATAAAGATCTTCTCTCTTTCGCATTCCAACTCTCCTCATTTGGGTCCGTTCTCGCTTTGCCCTTCTCCCCTGGCCCTTTTCGAAACAGCCATTCTCAAAAATATGTCACTTTGACCCGTCGCACTTGCCTCTTTTCATACCAAAATCGTTTTTAGGGTAATATTAATAAATACATTGATATGTTTTGTGCGCGCGCGCGCGCGCGCGTGTGTGTGTGTGTGTGTGTGTGTGTGTGTGTGTGTGTGTGTGTGTGTGTGTGTGTGTGTGTGTGTGTGTGTGTGTGTGTGTTGCCACGCTACAGGCATACTTCCTCTGCTAAGGATTTTAGTAGTGCGTCGAGGTATTCTGAGATATTCTGAGATATTCTGCACCATCACATATCCATACCCCTAGATACTTGTATTTACTAGCTCTCTCAGCTGTAATATTCTGTATCTTCAGCCTCTCAACTTCATCATCGTTAAAAATCATGACTGCTGATTTTTCACTACTGAATTGTTAACCTAATTCCTCTCCTTGCCTTACCACAGATGCTCATTAATTCCCGCAACTCTGTCCTGTTAGCCATTAGTACGATATCATCCGCATACATCAATCCCGGTAAGGATTGCTGAATTTTTAGGCCTAGCTTTCTGTACGAAAGGTCGAATACAAGCCCACTCTTCTCTAGTCTATTCTCCAATCCTCTCAGATGCAACATAAACAGCAAAGGCGATAACGGGCAACCCTGCCTACACTCTTAGAAAAAAGGGTATGGATAGTCCTCCCTTAGGGGAGGAACGGTCTTGTAACCTATGTTCCTTTAGAAAGGGAGAAACGTTCGTCCCTGAAGCAGGGGAGCAACGTTCCTCCGTCGCTTGCATCTCAATATGGCGGCCCCGAATCGAGCAAATCGAGCCCAATAAGGCTTAACCAGGACGCCACGTCTCTTGTACGGGACGAGAGCAGCAGCAAATAAAAGCGTCACACGAGCTTTCCGCAAACTGTGTTTATTTCCGAAGCCAGATTCCCCCCACAGGTACAGAAACTTGCGTTTCGAAAGCAGTTACTCAGTCTTCTCGTCGACAGCACTGCGATGTTAAACGGAGACAACCGATACCCAGTTAGTTCGCGCACTTTGAGTCTTACCTTTGGTGTTCCTCGAGTCACAATTCCTTCGTCAACCGCACATCACAGAGAAGGGCAAACTCAATCCGCGAAACCAAAAGCCGCTCTCGAAAGAACAAACTCGAAGCCGCTGTTTATCGCGTAGCGTGAAAGGTTAAATCGCTAGCCACCAGATGGCGGGGTCAAGCAGAGTAATTGCAAGCAGCTAGGCTAGGTGGCGCTAAGTACCGCCCAATTCATGTTCTACAAAAAATAATATATTCTTTTCAGGCCACTACTGCGCTTCAGAGCCGCTCTCCTGCGCTTGGGGATCCTCTACTATACACACACATTACACTTATTAGAAGCATTAGGTGAACATACATTGAGCACATACACGGCACACACACAGATATCAATACAACGGAACACCACACTAACCTGAACACTACACCCGTGCTCTGCGTTTCCGTCTTTTATACTGGTCGTTTTGAACGTACGGAACTTTTCGGTGACCCCCTAAGCAATAAAAAATATTCCGAGCATGTTGATTTTTTTCCAGCAATGTCATACCTCTGAAAGTATTTTAAATGGCTCAAGGGATGAATCTCTTATTAAAAGTAAACGCTCGATCAAGCCGTAATTATTTGAAAGCCAATAAATCAAGCCGCCATAATGCGGTTCGAAGCCATGAGTTTGTTTCCCCACACGGCACGTCGTAGCCTGTATTTCTAGTGGTTTTTCTATTTGTGCTGTTCGCGCAAAGCTGCAATTGCCGTCTTGAATTAATCTCTGTAGAGCGGATATTCACTCAGCTGGAAGTGATGCTTCACATGCTGAGAAACCGCTTTTCGACCAACTTGAATGCAGTCAAAGCCGCGACTTGCGGCAGGTGTTCAGTGTACGGAGCTACGCCGTGGCGAGCCCAAAAACGTCTAGCGCTCATCCCAGCGCGCCACTTGGAAGGCAGTTTCTCCAGGAACCGTAGTATATTTAAACAGCAAAATAAAGGTCATTTTTTTTTTCGATTTTACCTTCTATTGTTTTTTAATGCCGAAATTTCATACTGTAGATATACGTACTTTCCGTCACGATTTCGTACTGTTCAGTCCTTGCCCCAGAGCGCAATCGCTCTCGGGGACGAGACAGTTCCGACAGTCATATTGGACATTGTACGATAGCGATAGGAGCTTCTACTGTTCAAACCAGCGTTCCAACATGACTATCCGCAAGTTGATCGATTGCACGTAATCCTTCAAGTGGTATTAAACTTTTTAATGTAAAGCGGAATGTCAACCTGCGACACCCCGCCCCCTCATCACGGCCCGACCAACGGCATCAATGCCCGACAGTTTACGATCTCATCTTGTTGTTACACCACTGATACGCGAACACACGGTCACATCGGCGATAATTCCAGTCTTCTGTTCACAACCCACAACACTGCCATCACGATGTTGCAGCTATGTTGCTGACACGCACAAATACAGAACCACGTTGAACGCCGGTTGCACTCGGCATCGGAAAACAGAACCGAACTCAGCGCGGAAGGCACCCAGGCAGCCGGCAGCAAAACCTGCCTGTCTTGGACGCAGTTCCTGCGGTTTCCATAACGTCGAAAACGTCGACACAGTTCCGCGTAGTTTCGCTACTGTAGCGACTGTAGGACTGTAATTCCGTCGGTTCGCCGCGCGCGCGAGTCCCGCAATCCGGGGACGGCCATCCCCCAGTGTACGTGGCACTGCTGGCACTGCTCCGGAACTTCGCTGTTTCTAGCGGCTTCGTTTGCTTGTTTGATAAAATTAGTGATAAAAGCGTCATTGCAACCGAAATGTTCTGCACGTTTAGACTAGAAGACGGAATTACAGGCGGCCTTCACTGCCGCTGAAGTTCAATCAACTCAACAGCTATTTATTAAACAACGTGCGCGACCTGCTCGAAAAACGAAACCGAAAGAAGATGAGTCGGGAGGGCGAAAGCTTTCTCCTGTCTGCCTGGAGAAGGAGAAAAACGTTTCGTTCCTCCCCTTTTCTCGTGTCCGGTTGGGGGCGCGTCAGTAGAAGGGAGGAAGACGCGCCGTTGCTACTTTTTTCCTCCATTTTTTCTTAGAGTGTAAGCCCTCGTCTTATCTCTATTTTCCCCGTCGCCTTTCCTTCCCATGTTATAATCACCTTATTATCCTTGTAAATG